TGCATGCCAGAAACCTGGAAGTCAAACAGGCAAGGCCGCATGTGCCAGGCGACATGGCTTTGTGAGCCATTTTGGGCACACGTGCCATAGGTTCGCCATCACGGGACTAGAGCATGCCAAGTACTCACCAACATGGACAGGGAACATCTAGCAAGCTTCTGACAAATGGAGACGGGAAGATGAGACTCAAACCTTCTACTCATTAGCTGAGTCAACCTCACCACCACCCCTTTGAAAAGGATAGGGTGGACATGTTAAATCCGAGCCCTAGGAAAGAACGTTCACTTGGGAAGAGGGATGCAAAATCTTGTAAAAACAGAAGGGAAATAAATGAAATCTCTTCCGCTTCAGCAGGATGCAAATGCTGTTATGTTTAGGAGGCTTCTAGACAGCAGCAAAGCTTTATGTCCATCTCCCTAGGAAGGCAACTTTAGGACTTTTCAGTTCTCACCTTGGAACCTTAAATAATGCAATAGGAAGGCCTTTCTGAACCCCTGGTCTAAATGGAGATGAATCCCATATTTTTCGGAGTATAAGACACACTCCCACCCCTGCTTAAAGAGGGTGAAAAATTGGGTGCATCTTATACACTAAATGTAGCCCCGCTGACTCGCTGGCCCCCACCCTTTGGCCTCTCCCTCCCAGCAATTTGCCTTCTCACAGCAAACAACTTGTTTCAGTTTCAGCACAAGCAGCTGACTGTCGCTCAGATCGGCCTCCGACCATCAGCTCTTTCAGGCTGCAGGGATTGCCATTGCCTATTGCCGCCTCCGCACGCCCAATTTTTGGCCTCCACATCCCATTTTTGGTCTCTGCGCATCCTGTTTTCGGCCTCTGTGCACCCCATTTTCCACCCAATCCGATCCCCGTCACCCGGAATGGGTGGAAAATGGGGTGCACAGAGGCCGAAAACCAGGTGTGCAAGGCTGAAAACAGGATGTGTAGGCCGAAAATTGGGTGTTCAGATGCGGCAATAATGGCAATCCCTGCAGCCTGAAACAGCTGATGGTCGGAGGCTGATCCATCCGACAATCAGCTGCTTGTGCTAATAAGGGTGTGCTGAAACTGAAACGGGCGGTTTACTGCAAGGAGGCAAATTGCTGTGAGGCAGAGGAAGATTCCCCGCCCCCTTGTTTTCCTCCCCAAAAGCAAGGTGAGTCTTATACTTTGGAATGTTTTATACTCTGAAAAATATGGTAATTGAAATTGGATGGTTTCTCCAATTCTGCAATACAAAATAGCTGCTGCAGCTGTGGAAGCGGTCCGTAAAGTGAGAGATGTCAGAGACACATGGCTCGTTCCTTAATGTGTAGCCAAGGGAGCCCTGGCGCTACAGGCAAGCTTGCCTCCTTTGGGGAATGGTTTTATCTCAAAGGTGTTCAAAAGGTCTGCAAAACGTAGGCGTTACTGCATTCCAGCACCACTTGCAAAAATGTCGCTAGTCTAGAAAAAAAAAGCTACTTGGCACACAACCTGTCATACGGGAGGTTTGTGGTTGATATGTGCAGGGAGAGTTGAAATTCCAGTTTTCCAAAAGTTTCTCCGCTGTCTATACGTTTGTGGCTCTTGATCATCACCAGAAACTAATGAGAAATGCTCCCAAGTAAGAACAAACCAACAAATGACATTGCATGTTTCTCACTGTAACTTGAAATTCCAGATCTGGTAAATCAGTTTTTGTAGAAAGGGGGAAAAACACTGCAGTGGAAAAATGCAAATCTGAGCATCATGACTAACCGGTTCTTAGAGAGGAAACCTGAAAACAGACTTGATCTGAAATGTTGGCTTGCTTAAAAAAAGAGGTCAATATTGCAACTGATAAGAGAGGGGAAAAGGATGGCCAGTAGAGCAATTCCAGATAAACCAGGGTACCCTGGCTCAGGGGTCCTCAAACTTTTTAAACAGGGGGCCAATTCAGGGTCGCTCAGACTGTTGGGGGGGGGGGACCAGACCGGCTGGATGGGCATGCTTAGGTGGTCATGTGACTGGGTGGGCATGGCTAATTTAGCAGTCCATTAAACAATACACACAAACTTCAATTTGTTACGCTCCTGGGGTGGAAAGGGATGGTGAAGGGATAGGTTAGTAAAGAGATATGGCTTCCTTGGAGTGTGTGTGTGTGTTTGTGTGTGAGGGACTTCTGTTTGTGTGTGTGTCTCTCTCTTTCTCTCTCTCCCTCTCTCCCTCTTTTTGGAGGCTGGGGATCCACTCTGCCACCCCAAAACAGGCCCATTTTTGGCTTCCCGAGCCTTCTGCACATCCCATTTTTGGCTCCTTGGCCTTCAGAAGGCAGATGTGGGCCAGCGGGTAGCTGGGGCAATGTGGGCAGGGCAGCCTTGTGGTTCCATGAGGGCCAGATTGATGGCTTTGGTGGGCCATATCCAGCCCATAGGCTGTAGTTTGAGGACCCCTGACCTGGTTCAACACTCAATAGCTTCCGTCACGTCATGACAACTCAATTGAAACAAGCATCCTACCACTCACCTCCGGGACCGCCTGCTCCATAGGGCCCAGGCTGGGGAGCACCATAGGGATTAGCAGGCTGTCCATATGACCCTCCTGGGACTGGGCCACCCCCATACATTCCACCCGGAGGGCCAGAGGAAGGATATCCATACTGTCCTCCACTGGGGGGTTGTCCATATGGGCCTCCAGGTGCTGGGCCCCCATACTGTCCCCCAGAAGGCAGTCCACCTCCATACTGTCCACCAGGATAGCCGCCTTGAGGAGCTCCTGGAGTCTGTCCTGCAGTACCAGGGAAGCCCTGTAAAGGAACGAAAGAAGGAACTGTAAAAAAAAAAGAAGCAGTCAATGAATCAGCACAGGGCCTAGGTTTCCCACTCCCTTATTGTGAAATGGACCTTTTCCCTTCTTCATAACTTCCGTGGTTGTGAAATGGTCCTTGTTCCATCCTACCTCCTTACAAAAGGTATACCCTAAGCTATGAATGGCTGGGACACCATTCGTAGTAATTGGTGGTATAAATCAATAAATAGTCATGGTGGAAAATATACTCCTTACATGATTCACATCATTCGCACAATGGCATCCTGCTGCTTTGATCTCACCTGACCCCTGGCAGCAGATTCGGACAGTGAGGAGGTTGGGGAGGAATATGAGCCAGTCCTGGAGTCGGGGGAAGGTTATGATGAGGGTCTGTGTCAGAGGCAGAGAGCTGTATGCCAGTTATCAGCTGCCTTCAGAGTCAGACATCAGTGAGGCAGACGAAAACTGGAGCCTGTTCCCAGTGTGCACATATGCAGAGTTGCCAGATGAAAGGAACAGCTAAAGAACAGGGGTCGACTTGGGAATAAGGCCACATGTGGGCGATGAATGGCCCCTCCCATAGGGAATAAAAGAGGAGCGAAAGAGGAGTGGAGTTTGCAGGAGAGAATTAGT